TCGAGAACTACTGACAACAAAGGCTGCGCCTGCCGCTCCCATTAGCCTGTTTGGCTGGCAGGGAAGGAAAAGAACTTAACTGTTGGTGAAGGAATGAGCTGGGTGGGATGACAGTGAATAAAATATATATAGTAAAAGCAAAGCTGGTCCAACATGTCCTGCAGGCGTACAATGCAGTTTAATCAGAGTGTCATTTTGTTGTTGTTCAAATGATTTTAATTATTGGAATGCAACTTTTTAATATGCAAATAAAAAGTTTTAAAACCTAAAAAAAAAATTAAAATTGTCAAAATTAGAACAATTCAAAAGATAGGCTTAGAACAGAAAGAAATGAGGAAAATTAGGGGAAAAAATGTCAACACACAGAAGGATTTTTACTCTTAACAGGAATTTCAGAAAATCCCAAAGAAGAAGAAATAATCAAAGATATATTAGACAAATAAAGACATATTAGACAAATAAAGACGTATTAGACAAATAAAGACACTGGTGTTCAGTTTGAATGGAGGCCAATGGTACCAAAAAGAACAAGGAAAATCATTTTAAATTTGGAATCCAAACTATCAATCAAGTATGAAGGTAAAATATAGACATTTTCTAACATGCTTAAAATGTATTTTAAAAATACTTTTTAAAGTATTAAAAAGTTCACCTCACATACACATTTTCTGGGAGAAAAAAAAGGAAGAAGAAGAACATACTCCAAGAAAAAAGGAAGGTATTGATGTCAAGAAGTACAGTAGAGAGGAACTCCAGGGCAATGGCAGTGCAAAGAAGTAGAAGGCAATTAGACCAACCAGGAGCAGGAGGTTAGAGTGCTTTCAAGAAGAAAGAAGATTCATTTTAACAGACAAAAATGACTAAGAATCTATTGATACCATAAAGGCATATTCTTCTTCCGTCAAAAAGAAAAAATAAAAGCAATTAGAAACTCTTATAAAAACAAAGAGTTACATTAGATAATTATGGTCCAAACAGGTATAAGCTAAAACATGGCATGATTTTGGGCAATCAGTAGAGTCTAAGACAAAAAGAAAATATTTGGTATTGATTCTTAAAAACATTCCTCCCACAAGCTACACATATCTAGTGACAGAGAATTATATATCCTTTTCTTACGGATTCAGTCTTAAACTTGATTCTACAGTAAGTAATATTTACATATTCAAAATACTTTAAATGTTGTCTACTGGAATTTCAGATCTATAAATCAGCCACACATAATGCTCAGTAGACTCATTATAGTTACAGAATATTATAAAACTTGGTAATATAACAATATAGGTATCAGAGATTTTAAGATGGAGTAGAAAAAAGAAGTAAAAAGGCACCAATTTCCTCATCTTATTTAGTCTGGCATCAAGATATAGTAAAAGGTTGAATTTCTTTATCATACACTTATTACTTTTCTGATACATATTTCTAAATTATAAAAAAGGTGCCAATATGAATAAATACAGTTTTTGTTTAATTATAAGGAAAAGGGCATCACTTAATACCATTACTGAACATTCACTATGGCAAAACACTGTTGTAGTCACAATACATTTCTTTCACCTTTGCTTTATATTGATGTTTCAGGCCATAATCTATTGGTTAGTCATGAAATCAACAGTGGTCATGAAATAGAATAAATAGAAAACACTTAAGTTTCTTGCACTTAGCAGGAATAAATACTGTGTTGTGAAATTTATTTCTTGTATGTGTATGTATGTTTGTTTGTATGGGATAAAATGTATTTTATACTGAGGTGATGGGTCTGG